TTCACATTCGCATTGCATTATTGTTTGGTTACATTATATGAAAACATATAATAATGAGATAATATAAATAATTAATAAAGATAACATTGTCCCAATACCCAATTGAAAAAAGGCCAAATAGACAAAAACGAAGAAGGTCATTTACAAGAAAGACATTGCTGACAAGTGTCATTTTATTTTTTATTTATTCAAGCACTGAAATATTCTCAAGACTCAGGTTTTACTACAAAAAAGAAAAAACATGTGTTCAATGTTCATGATTCGATGGTACATTTGACTGTGATTCGACTCTGTGAGTTTGTGGTTGATGGATATTAATTTTTTGCAGTTTGTACCATTTTTATTTGTGAGAGAGGTGGAAATTTTCCAATGAATACTACAAAGCTAAAAGGTTAGTGAATTTATAATTTCTACCAAGGCAAACTTAAACAAATAGATTGGATTTTAATATTGATCTGGTTTTATTTTGAATAAGTTGATTAAATTATTTTCAGATTCAGCTGAGAAGGCAAATATGGCCAAATCAAGAAAAAAACTGACTGCTGTCAATCCAGGCAAGGTTGAAAAGAGTAAAGTAGAGGAGTTTTTCACTAAATACTACAAAGCTAAAAGGTTAGTGAATTCATAATGTCTAGCAGAGCAAACTTTAACAAACAGATTGGATTTTCATACTGATCTGCCTTTCATTTTGAATAAGCAATTAAATTATTTTCAGGTTCAACTGAGAAGGCAAATATGGCCAAATCAAGAAAAAACTGACTGCTGTCAATCCAGGCATGGTTGAAAAGAGTAAAGTAGAGGAGAGTCAGAATGAATTTGAGGATAAGTTTCAATAATTTTATTATTTATAGGTTATTTGCTTCTAAATAAATTTTTTTGAAATTATTCATTATTTTCACTAATTTCCTTACATCCTATTATTCCCCATTCGAGCTTTTGAAAATGTCCATGGAACGTCCTTAAATGGACGTTCTTAAGACATCCTGATTATTAACAATGGACGTTCCAAAGACGTCCATAAGACGTCCATGTCCGTGAAATGGACGTTTTAAGGATGTCCTGAATGTCCAAGCAGGACGTTTTTAGAACGTCCATAAGACGTATTTGTGCTATCTGGGTGTGTGTGTGTGTGTGTGTGTGTGTGTGTGTGTGTGTGTGTGTGTGTGTGTGTGTGTGTGTGTGTGTGTGTGTGTGTGTGTGTGTGTGTGTGTGTGTGTGTGTGTGTGTGTGTGTGTGTGTGTGTGTGTGTGTGTGTGTGTGTGTGTGTGTGTGTGTGTGTGTGTGTGTGTGTGTGTGTGTGTGTGTGTGTGTGTGTGTGTGTGTGTGTGTGTGTGTGTGTGTGTGTGTGTGTGTGTGTGTGTGTGTGTGTGTGTGTGTGTGTGTGTGTGTGTGTGTGTGTGTGTGTGTGTGTGTGTGTGTGTGTGTGTGTGTGTGTGTGTGTGTGTGTGTGTGTGTGTGTGTGTGTGTGTGTGTGTGTGTGTGTGTGTGTGTGTGTGTGTGTGTGTGTGTGTGTGTGTGTGTGTGTGTGTGTGTGTGTGTGTGTGTGTGTGTGTGTGTGTGTGTGTGTGTGTGTGTGTGTGTGTGTGTGTGTGTGTGTGTGTGTGTGTGTGTGTGTGTGTGTGTGTGTGTGTGTGTGTGTGTGTGTGTGTGTGTGTGTGTGTGTGTGTGTGTGTGTGTGTGTGTGTGTGTGTGTGTGTGTGTGTGTGTGTGTGTGTGTGTGTGTGTGTGTGTGTGTGTGTGTGTGTGTGTGTGTGTGTGTGTGTGTGTGTGTGTGTGTGTGTGTGTGTGTGTGTGTGTGTGTGTGTGTGTGTGTGTGTGTGTGTGTGTGTGTGTGTGTGTGTCTGTGTGTGTGTGTGTGTGTGTGTCTGTATAACGCAAAACTCATGAACCGATACACAGAAAAACACCAAATTTTAAACTTAAGCTTTGTTTCAGCGTCCAATGAGCTGATTAGATTTTGGGCAGTGTCGGAACATCTGGGGGGGTACTTTATGGGTGGTCATTTTTATATATTATGGAATATATCTGTTATTTACATTTGGAGAAGAAAATTCTTCAAATAAAAGTTACTTCTAATATAATTATCTATAATTTTTGTTTTACGCAAAATTTTCCTAAAATGGTCCGTATTCGAGAAATTTGACAAAATGTAAAAAACATAATTTTTTATAAAAATTGTTCAAATAAAAGTGGTTTGTAATATAATTCTCTATAATTTTTGTCCTATACATAATTTCTCTAAAATGGACCGTATTCGAGATATTTGAGAAAATGTGTAAATTTCGAAATTTGAAGAAAACTCAAAAACGGATAAAGAAAAAAACATTAAATTTTAAACTTAAGTTTTATTACGGCCTGACGTGAAATGATTAGATTTTGGACAAAGTCGGAACATCTGGGGGGGTACTTTATGGGAGGCCGTTTTTATATTTTATGGAATATATCTGTTATTTATGTTTGGAGAAAAAAATTGTTCAAATTAAAGTTACTTCTAATATTATTATCTATAATTTTTGCTTTATGTAACAATTTCCTGAAATGGTCCGTATTCGAAAAATTTGACAAAATGTGCAAAATTCTGATTTTTATGAAAATTGTTGAAATAAAAGTTGTTTGCGATATCGATCTCTATAATATTTGTTCATACATGATTTTTTTAAAATGGACCGTAATGGAAAAATTGTAGGAAAAGTGCTAAATTTAAATTTTTCATTATTTTCATTTTCAATGAATATCTATAGAAAAATGTTTCGCGGTAGATGTATGTGGACAATGTATATATTTAGTTTTAAACATTTATAGAGATGCTGCAATAGGTTGTACAAAATAACCGGAAAAAGCCTGTAATAACTAGATAGGAAAGTCATGTGTTGGACACATCAGATTTTTCTTTTACTTTTTGTGGTTTTGTACGCCAGTAGTTTGACGTTTAATAAGAAAGAAGAATGGCCTGCTCTTTAGTAGTTAATATTATGTGTCATTTAGTTCTAAGTTGTAAGTCAGTTGTCATTGTCAAGAGAAAGATGTTCTTTAGTTTTCAATTGTTTCATGCTAACGACTAGATGTCATGGCGTCAGGTCATTGAAATTATAAGTTTGAGTAGAAACCAATGTTTTATTTAATATTAAAAGGTACCTCAGTCCATCCCCACACTATAGACTTTCCACCATTCTTTACCATACTCTGAAAATATTATCGTTTCGAGCTCTATTTTATGTGATAAAAAAGTCGCCGTCACTTGTCATTGACAACGCATTGACATTGGACTTAATTGAAGTTCACCCACATCACTGTTTAGTAGTTTTTATAAAGAAGTATTAGACACCAGCAGTAACAATAAACTTAAGTCGTTCCATTTTTCATCTTTCGTTTCGATAGACACTACTTTAGTGATTTTGTTTGTCAAAATAAATAAATTTGGGTAATTTATTTATTGCTAGCAATAAAATGCCTAATTAAGAGGTTATTTATTGACTCATGTCTAACTCAACAATCTCAGCATTTACAACAATAAAATATAATTTAAAATACAATTTGTTGACACACTGTGAGTGTTGCGAGTATAATATGGAAAATCATTTTTCATTAATTTAAAAAATCACTCTCAAATTTACGCTCTTTAGTAAAAAACTTAGGAAACAATCTGTATACGTACGTCAGCATTAATAACTACTCCTCCTACTCTTGATCGTTTTGTCATTTTTTTTATAATTTAATAATATACCTAGTATTATTGTTGAAAATTAGACTCTAGTTGTATTTTCACTTTTTATTGGGCGTTGAAACATCCATACTGCCCTGCTAAGACAAGAGATTGTATCAACATTTTTAGTAAATGTAGGTACGGAACTTGGATTTTGATTTTGTACAGTAATAAAATGAAATTTCGGTAGATACGACCTCTTGTTTTAGCAGTGCAATATATCACTGTCATCCACCGTGGCTATCAACCGCATAATCCATGTCAATTCTAACTAATTGTCATTTTATTAAAAATGGTGTGTCGTCACAAATTAGGCATTCCAAACAAATGAATTACCAGTGGGCAGGTGTGGTATATCTAAGGGTGGCGACATATGGTGTATTCTATCTACTTTACGTAAAATCATGAATAATGGATTACATTTAAATATTTTATGTCAAACACAATAAAAATAATATTTAAAAAACCCACCTATACATTTCTTTATAAATTGGCAGGCTTGGCGAGTACTACTTCGAATAAAAATAGCGTCCAAGTTGCAAGACTATGTCGTTACCCCCTTAAATATACAAGAATTTCCCACTGCCACCTATTGTTTGACAGGTCGTGGGAATGCCTAATTAGGCATTCCAACGACCTGTCCAAATGGCTACCTGTGGGTAATAACAGTTTAGATATGGCAACCCTGTTGTCATGTTGTCATTAACAGGGTCAATGATACATATATAGTTATATAGATTGCTCAAAGCTGGTCGTTTACGAGCTGCCATATTACCTGGCAAATATTTATTAATTTGAATCGGTTTAGCAAAAATGCGTTTTAAAACCAATTTTTAGCCTTTAGATATTTAAAAAAAAAAAAAATTGCTTACATTTTTAGATCACGGCATACGCTTATGTTTATTTTGAAAAATATGGATAATCAATCTGTGTAACTATCTATTTCATTGACCTTGTCAAATCACCAGGCTTACAGGGTTACCATAATTTTGCCATATCATAACCCGTCAAAACCCACTGGTAGCCATTCAGTTTGGAATGGCTAATTGTGTTGGTTACAATGAAAATTTCAATAATCATAAAACATAATTGTCATTAATATCAATATGGTCTATTTTTTTTTTCTACGTTTACAATTTTTTTTGAGACAACCGAGTCACTTCTAATTTTACTCAAGAAAAACAAAGTGACATTAAAAATGTCTATAAAAAGGTCGTTATACAAATCAACACAAAACAAAACATTTGACATTTTTATTGAACCTAGTCGATATGTTGGTCGCTCAAACCAGTTGTAGTTTCTTGTTTTGTTCCAGGAAATAATGGAAAGGACACCACAAAAAAGGAAAAGGAAATCGTGTCACCGACTATTCATGAAAATGCCAATGGTAAGTTAACCCGATTGAGTAAGTCTGACAGTTATTATTTTTACTTTATTTTACTTTTAACCTAATTAACAAAGTATTTTTAAATTAATCCACATGTAAAACCTTAAATATAGAATCGTCGTTGAAATGAATATCCAATAAAGTTGAGCGATGTTTCACAAATTGCTATTTAATTATTTTAATCTTGGTAAACTGACAATTTTCACATCTTTTTCTATCGATTTCTGCCAAAAATCGTTAGAAGTAATAAAGGGACCGAGCCTAAATTGAAATTAAAAGCTTATGGTAAGATTTTCGAGTGTTATTCTGAAAATATCATTCACTATTATGAAATTAATTGCAGTTTTGTCCACCCTACATTTAAAGCAGACGAGATGGTTTCTTACAAGCATTAAACACAACAAAAAATAAGAAAAGTCAAAAGGCTTTACTACTCTACTATTGAAAAAAGGGGTTTTCTACAGGAAGTTTTTAGTAAAAAGTAGTAGCAAATAATTTTATAGAAGAAAAAAAGGACCCGTTGGACTTCAGAAGAAACATAAAATGTATATATCAGAAATCAAATATATATATTTTTCAGTTTCTACTAGTTTCTAGGATTATGAACAGGATAATGTACTTAAAAAAAAACAATAAAACAACAACCAAGTTTTATTATAATAAATCTATAAATATAGGTACCAAATTAGAGAAAAACAGTTATCTATTGTATTTATATACATACAATAATACACAGAGGAGATATTACATGTACTTGGAGTACTTATCATCCAAGACCATCTCTCAGATTTATTTTAGCAGCGCACTTTTGTAAAGTTGAAATCTCCAGCAAGGGATACTTGAAAGTATTTCTGAGGTAAAGGTAGCACCTTTTACTCAAATATCTTCTCGTGAATGCTTTACAAACTTCTAAAAGGCCGTTGTTTTCTTCTTTAAATTGATTTGTAAATATGTACTTTTTACTAAAAACTTCCTGTAGCAAACCTTTTTTTCAAAAGTGTATGTTCTTTTAGTAAAGCCCTTTGACTTTTTTGCTCTCAGTTGTTTTTAAAATAGTGAATGATATTTGCAGAATAATTACTCTAAAATCTTACCATTAGTCTTTAATTTCAGTTAAGGCTCCGTTCCTTTATTAATTCTAACGATTTGGTGTGTAAATAGTAAAAATTGTTTGCCAACAGCAAAACTACGGCTCACTCCAGGCTTGCCAATATTTCAAAATATTTCGGAATATAAACAAAGTGTGATTCTAATTTAGTAAGGAGGTCGTACCCTAATCCAAACTGTTTAAAATAAACCATTCACACAATAATATTTCTCTTTTTAATTCAAATAAAAAGTAATTCATTTGAAATTTGATGGAAATCATTACACGATTTTTGTCTTTCAAAAAATCAAATTACCGATTTTATAAAAACTCCAACACAGGTATATAGTCCAAAAATAAAAATATAAACACCACTAAATATTAATAAAATATTAGATTTTTTTAAGAAACTAATGTACGAAGCGCAGCAGAATATTTTCTGTCAACTCGATTTTGCATTCCGTGACGGCACATACTTCCTTAGCAACGGACGAAGAGGCCACCGCACAAAGCACGTATCTTCTAGAGACCCCACTCCAATGTTAAACTTTTAAACCAAATTAGCGCCACCTTGTGTTTGGAGCTGGAACTAAAATGACAATTGACAGATGGCGGTAAATTCAAATTGTAATTTTTAGGAGTAGGTAGTAGTTGTAAATTAAATTTTAAATGATTTCCACATAAATTATTTTATAAAATAAAGAATGGAACTAGTAAGTTCGAAACTTTTATTTTACAAAATAATTTAGGTCGATTATACCAAATTTGAGGAATTAATTTGTTATAAGCAAGGGTCTGATGTGGAGAGTTGGTTCTGCATATTATTATTAAATAAATATAAGATATATCAATAAATAATCAAATAGAACATTCTTAAAATATGTTTATTAATAACTTAAATAAATATTATTAGATAAAAATAAATACAAATAATAATACATATTTAACGAATACTTTCTCTCAAATCTTTAAAATACCTATCAATAATTTAAATGTGAAGTAGAGACTAGGATATTACATTTTATTAACACTAAAATAATATATTTTATAAATGTCTTTTAAACCGAGGACAAATGTAATATAGGTATTGTATTAAAAGGTGAATCATTTTAACTATTCATTCAATGATAAATAGGTATTTTCCTTCCAAATACAGATGGTGGTATTACTCCACTGCTTTGTGTATTACTCTCTTATGTGAAAAATGATTTCGGAATCTAGTCCAGTGATAAATTGATTATCAATTAGTTGTTATACCCGTTTGTCTTTTTATGATGCAGATGCATGGTGAATCAATAAGTTTTTCTCGAAGTTTTCAACGTAGCACCCACAGGTAGCACCAAAATTATTGCAAAACACAGTAGCAAATAGAAAAGCAAAACATCACAATTTTGCAAATAACTAAGACGATACTATAAACAGAAACCAAAAGCCAAAGCCAACAAAAAATCACTAAAATCAGACGGAAAAATGAGATTAACCAAAAACATAAATAAATACACGTCACATCTTTGGAGTCTTTGGTTAAGTTTTTCTCCCATAAAGCTTAAAAATGGAGTAAGAAATCAGAATTTTACCAGTAGCCCCATCTAGAGTTTGGAGCAAATAGCATAAAAAATGTCAGTTGTCGGTTTTGACCTTGGTCATTCACGTGGAACCTCTATGTGCTTTGTGGGCCACCGTGCTGTCTACGAACCATGACCACGGCATAAGAAACAATCGGCAGGCTCACTTGCCGCTGATCGCATATAATTTTACCTTGGCGACGCCATTCGGGGGTCTTAGTCATGGTCGGATTAAAGCGTATTTAAATATTTTGTAATAAAATAAGGTATTGATAGGCAGGATCGTATTAAAACAACAAAGTAAAAATTTAAATGAAATATATTTTAACTTATAAGAACAGCATTAAGAAAGGCAATATGCTCTACAGATTGCGCTAAATAATTAGCTTGTTTTTATTGATGGTCTTAAAATTTCTATTAATATTTTTAAAGTGTAATATATAAGTAGCCTTAACTTAATAACATATATTTCTGGAAATCGAGGACAAGGAGCGTCAAATGTTATCTCGGAATTAATTAAATTCAAAAAAAATTACAAACGCCGAATTTCGTGATAAATAATTCAAAATTTTGTTGAAAAATTATTTCAATTTTTGTTATTAAACATACAAAACTATTATCTGACATTTTTAAATTGCTAAAAATTGTAAAATTTTATGTTGAATAATTTTAGAAGTATAAAATAAATAATACAAAATTGTAACAACTAAATATTATTTGTAGAATCTTTATTGGTTACAATAATAAACATAATATACATTTTCTAAATAAACAACTATTTTAAATAACATAAAACAAACAAAATGATTCTATAATCGTGCGAAATAAAATAAGAGTTCCAGCCATAAATCCTGAAACGAAAAACAAAAAAAAAACAATCGTTGAAAGCGAAAAATTGCTTAAGACACATGATTTTGATTGTATGTGACTCATTACTAATTTTTAATTTACTACTTATAATTTCTTTAATGGCTAATTAAGATTTTCTTGCTTTTTGTAATGAAAATACTTTAGATTTATCAAGATTATAAAGCTTTGTTACTCGCATATCTAGAATAATTATTATCAAAATGAATATTAGAATTAAATTTTTGTTAAGCATTTCAATATTTGGGAATAACACAATTACGATTAATATTCATTTTTTTCAGAAAAAAAAGTAATTCCTTACAAAAAATTCCGCTTGTTGAAAAAAATAACAAGAAAAAGTTTCATTTTAAAGGTATGAAGGAAAACTGTGACTTTTCTTCGTAAAATCAATAGGTAATACAGACTTTTTCCTTTTGTCAATTTCAAGTTTCTTCATTTATTAAGACCCTGTATACCTGACCTAACATATTAATATAGTAAACCTATTTTGTCAACTCCATACGGCAGATGTTTAAAACATTTTACTTTAAATCTTAATAATATACCTACATAAGTAAATATAAATTGACACTAACCTTTACGTGACGTTAACTAGGCACCTACCTATATCTTACTAATAGGTTTATAACTGACAAACTGACCCATAACTTAGGATTTTTTTTTAAAGTATACCATACATACCTACCTAATAGGATTTTTAAGAAACCGAAAAAATCTTTTAATACAGTTTATTCATATAGTTTTTTGCAGCACAACTTTGCCCAGACATAGTAAAACACGTAAAAGTTAGCAAATTAACACTGGAAAACAACTACTATATAAAAAGTGTCAAAAAATATCTACAATTCTAAAAAAATAACAATAACTACATAATACACACATCACAAACAAAATAAATTTAAGACACACGCTACTGATTCCGAGCTGCTGCAACTTGTTTGTTTTTGTCGATATAAACGATGACAGTGACGCCACTGGCTTGATTGAGAGGTTGGACCCCAAAATGGCGGTGTTCTCGTAGATGTGAGCGTAGCGTTGCCGCCAAGACAAGTTAGCCTGCCGATTGTTTCTTATGCCGTACCGTGACCTTTGATCCCTCCGCGTAACGTCATGTTTTTATAAGGACATGGCTGAGAGACTCGAGTAATGCAATGCCATTGGTAATCAGTTCATTGCGTAGACAAGCAATGTCCGAATATATTCCAGAAAGGAACATCATTTGAGCGTCCAGCATGTTATCAAAAACGTTCAATGAACGTCCTTTGGTCATTGCTTAACGTGTTTTGCCTGAATGTGCCATGTCCAAATATAATTCAGAAAGGGGCCTTCTTTGAATGGTCAAAAGTGTGCTATTAGTATACTCTACTGCACGTTCATTGGGTGTCAGAAATCCAGAAAAAACTGATTATTTGACGTGCAGATTTCCAAAAATATATTGAATAGATATAGTTTTGTGGTGTCTGGGTGCTGTCTGCTCAGTGCGAAGTCATGGTAGGGGAAGCAGAAGCAAAATCGATACTAGCGCAAGCTGCAGATAATTCGAGCACTTTAGGGCGTATCAAATACACTTATACATTTTACATTTTTTTCAAAAAAGTAGGTAAACACGTTACAATAAGCAACCGGAGTTGCTGTGTTGTAAATTGTAAAAATACTAGTAAGAAAATAACGGCTTAAATTATAAAAATGTTCAATAGCAAAGTGAAAATTAAGTGAAATAATTGAATAGTAGACATCAGAAACTTGAAATGTTTTAAATAAACAATAAATTATCATTTTACGATGTTCTTCAACATCTCTTTAATCTTAAATGTTCAGCAAAAACTAGATTTCTGCCTTTAATTATTGTATGTGGCTGGAATGCAATTTTGTGACTTACTGATAGGAAACCAATTTTAATTACGAGGGAAAATCAAATATAAAAGGTAATTTTTTGTTATACATTTATTAAATAACCTTATTTATAAATTATTGTTATAACATTTTTCAATATAGTCTCCTGCGTGATCTATACACTTTTGCCACCGATTTGGAAGCTTTGGTATTCCCTGGTCATTGAAAGTTTGAGGGCGAGTTGTAAGCCAATTGAGCATGTGCTCTTCAACTTCTTCATTGCTTTCAAATCGTTTTCCTCCCAGTGATTCCTTCATAGGCGCGAACAAAAAATAGTCAGAGTGGTACAAGTCAGGGCTATAAGAAGGGTACTCGAGGGTTTCCCATTTCATTTCTTCCAGTGTATTCCTTGTCAAGGCCGCGGTATAAGGCCTGGTGTTATCATGGAGAAGAATGACAGTTCTGAAACCGAGTTGATCGGTGATAATGGATTGAACACTTCCATAGCTGATACCCAGTTCTAATGAAATTTCTTTCACAGTTAACTGGCGATCTCGTTTAATAATCTCTCGAATAGCACGAGTATTATCGCCTGTAATGATTGGCCTTGGGCGTCGATCATTACTTTCAACACGTTCTCGTCCGCCCTTAAATTCTCTCGTCCACGTATACACACGATTTTGAGACAGTCTACTGTCCCCAAACTGTGTCTTCAAACATGTTTAACGCTTGCGTTTGTTAAAAAATTTATAATAATTCGTTGCGCAACAGACGAATGTACCTCTTGCTCAGTTATGGCTGGACTGACGACAAAGCCGAAATCTGAGCGCACACCTGGCCGGTTCCCCATTCCTCATAAACCAAACATTTACTTCTCATAACATCATGTAGCTCGAAAATGCGTTCTAAGAACAGCAAAATTACCGTTTATATTTGATTTACCCTCGTATTTATTCTGTTTTCTTTCGAACAAAAATGAAGAAAATATAAATAACAATACTTTTGTTTATACATTTTAACCTCACGCTATTACCTATTTGATGCTATTTTTTTATTTTGACAGAATAGGTTAATTCTTCAAAGAAAACTTACTAGACTTAGGCAGCTTCTTATAAATTTTCTCGTATATACCTGCTAATGTTTTATTATTGATTTTCATTGAATATACATACTTAGTTTTTTTTAGTTTAAGCGATAAAAATATATTAAAATAATAATAAATTAATATTTTCACTTGTTTTACAAATCCATATACTTTTATTAAAACTAACATATATACTTTGTAATTATGAATTATCTTAAAAATTGTATTGTCAGTATAGGCAAAAATCGTCCTTTAGTACATAAATTAATTGGCGCTGCTGTCACGCACGGAGCAAATAAGCAGACTACGTTATGATAATGCATACAATTAACTATGTGTTGTTTCCGTCTAGCACTTTTATAATCGTTTTACCTGTTACATTTAAATTGCGAGGGCTATTATGGCACAGAAGGGAATTTGATTAATTCACTGTGGAGTGAATTAAAATAAATGACTTATTTAAAAAATCTAATGTTATTTTTCTGGTTCCAGGTGAAGAAGTCCAGAAGAAGAGAGGCTTCTTCAAAAATCTGTGGAAACGATCCCGGCACTACTCGTTAGAGCAGCAATAGTGAACCCCCATTTTATATATAGGATATTTTTTTGTGTACATTTTATATAACTCAACAATTCTAACCGCTAGCATTAATGTACTAAAATCCAAGAGGACGGCACTCCGAAATCCTTACAATATTATACGGGATGTCCCGGCCATACGTCGAAGTCACTTTTTGACTTTTTGTACTTCGGCATTGTGTTGAAGGGGACATCCGGTAGATGTAGATATTACCTTACTAATTTATTACGTGTAACAATTTTAGCAAACACTCTGTATTCGTCGACTGGTGGATAAGTTCAGAACAAATCTTGTTCAATATATCGTAAAATTTGGTTTTTATCATCAGATCTTATGAGAAATGTTTTTTTTTTTCGAAACACAGATTTTATTTAGAAATTTTAATATAATTTTTTCGTTTTCCGATAACCTGGCTTGTTCATGTGTGTGAATTTTTTGTTTTAATTGGTTTGTTCTGAACCTGCTACCTATTTTTGCTTTAATAAAAAAAATGTATAATTGTATATTAGTTTATTTATATTGAACATATTTTTTGTCTGTGTGTTTATGGTTTAATAAATTGATTTAACAATTTAAAGTGTTATTGTTTTTTTACGTATGCTGTTTTTGTAATTAACAATGTAAAATTTATTATGAGGCAAAGAGACAATCTGAAGCACTGTTTGGATAATTAAGAAATCACATAGATTTAAAATTCTTATGTAATTCAGAGGAGGTCTCTAATCACTTCAATATCACTAGAGTTCTACCTGCCTTTACTCATTGATGTACAATTATTGGTAATTTGTCGCTATTTTATAAATATAGATACTGCGATAGTCTTCCTGAAATTTCTTATATTGTAAGACCTCCCTAATAAAAGTTATCATCAATCTTGAATCTTACAACAGACCTACAGAATTACTTATAAACAAAAGTTTTAGGTGGTTATAGTAATTTGGAATTGTAAGGAAGGGTGGGCCACCATGAGACGCGATTACCATGAGACAGTCGCCATTATTTTTAAATAATGCGCGTTAATCTGTAGTCTTTTCACAGAAACATTAAGTGACCGATAGGTCAGACTTATTCCTGTTAATGTTTTATCCTCAAATAAAATAGCGATACCATTACTTAAATTGAGGAATGAGAAATTATATTTCTCACCGAGACCTCACATGTGTCCCGCCCAAATAAACAGGCTACAGGCCACATGCCATTAAATATATACTGTTAAAGAATTCTTGAGGATATACAGCAGACGTCCTCAGAATTGCACTATCTATTAATTCTTTCTGTATCTGTAACGTGTGGAGGATGGGTTACCCCCACGGCACTTACACCTCACTAGGCCCATTGTGAATCCTCCTAAGACGATAGGCACCTCCTAGCCCGTGAGTCACCCTACAGATTTAATGTAGTTGACAACATCGCCAAGAGGTGCTTCTTTTATATCGGCCGGTGTTAATAAATAATGAGAGCGTCGAGCAATCGTAGAGGATATGCTCGATGGTCTCATCTTCTTGTTCGCACCCTCTGCAGAGTGCGGATTCTGACAGCTCCATAATATGGAGATGCTTCCGTACTTGGCAATGACTGGTCAGAATGCCTGTGACTATGCGCAGATTTTGTCTAGTTGTCTAGTTGTTTGATGCAATGTTGTCAGGATAACTTAAAAACTCCCTGGCAACTCTGTAGTTTCTTGTTTCATCCCATTTTTCCTTGAATTTCACAAGGGAATGTTCTTTAATGAGGTCTGTCACTACCGATTTTGTCAGGCCAATAGAAGAATAATCGTTACCTCTTTTATTGCTTCCTGGTCATCCGTTAAAAATTGGGCAGCAAGGTGGTTTTTTATTCGACCATCCCTTTCTCCGAAAGTGGAGAGGGGTTATTCTCTTGTGATTCCTCGGAGTTTTCTTGCAGGAAGTCATCCATTGCTATTTCTTCTGGCTCGACGTTCACCACTGTTGGCTTAAATTGGTATAGGTGCGCTTACTGAGATACAGTCTTTGCAATAACAGACGAATATCCCTTATGTTTCAACCTCACCTAGGGTTTTGTAGTGAGTCCTACTAGAATAGAGCCGGATCAATACCAGCGAACTACCCCTTATGTTCAAATCTACCTACGGTGCGAAGATTGAGAGATATTATTTAAGATAGTCCAACCCTGTAGGTGTATCAAGCATATTTGTGTAAGATGTGAGTCTAGCCGTCTGAAGTGTCATTTACCCCTATTCGCTGATATTTAGTAGCTATTAGGGGGGTGCATTTGGCACTTTGGTAGACCAAATTCTGAAATAGTTTTAGGCTGGTATAATAAAACGGCAAATACATACTGAGACGTGTCCATCTAGCGGCCCAAATGTAACATTAATGAACAATACATTTCTATAATAATGAATAATATAATAATAAACTTCTTTTAAATTATTGACTCACCATCTATTTCAGACGTTTTTATATTGTTGATACGTGGAAGTGTTGCTGATTTGGAAATATTGAAGGGGCATCGAGACGTAGAGCACCGGGACGTATAGCACTGATGTTAATTGCTTAAGAAAACATTTTTTTACTTGTAAATGTGACCTTTCATGATACATTTGCATGTACCAAAACTCATTTTACTATCTCAAGGGGTTATCAATAAATGTAAGACAAATTATTAAAGACGGAAAAGTTTAAACCATAAAAACTGAGCCCTTCTAGATCCATGTTTACGAACTTATTTTATATTTTTAAATGTAGAATCTGCCATTAAATTGTCTTCACAACAATAAGAAAATGCTGGATCAGTAACATCTTCTCAGATATCTACCACCATTCCTTCTGCTATATCACCACCAGATCCCTCCAGTAAGGCTGAAGAGGCTCGGAAAGCCTATAGTGGCCCACTCTCAACGGTGAGAATAAAATACACATCCTTAACCTTTTTACCTAAAGGAAACATACCCTTATTTTTTTATAATCTATCTACCGGACACTGTTGCCTAGGAAGACACACGAGTGTCATCGCAGAAGAAGCAATTTTATTCAGGTTTTCTGAAGAAGCAAAGGAAACATCAATTTATGTTCTGTACCTACTAGTGTGAAGGAAGGGAACAACAACCACGGGGAAGCGACAAAGCCGTTTCCGCAAAAAAAATTAAGTGGGGGTAACATGGCCAACTTTCATTTTAATTTTAACACACTTGCCAGTTTTACTAGTTTAGTCGTGATTCTTGCTATTTGCCGTTTCGTTTTGATTGACTTAAAAATATGTTGTATTCTTATGAAAATGTGTATTATTTGCTATTTAAAAAACTGACAATCCACCTTTCCCGTTATTCAGCCACATTACTCATGCGTAAAAAAAAGTGCGGAACTTCTGAAACTATTAAGCATTCCAACGACCTGTCAAAATGCTGACAATTGGGAACTGACAGTTTAGATATGACAACCCTGTAGACCTTTTGTCATTAACAGCGTCAATGATACATATATAGTTATATAGATTGCTCAAAGCGGGTCGTTTTCGAGTGGCTATATTGCCTCGCAAGTACTGATTAATCAGAATCGGTTTAGCAAAAATGTCTTTAAAAACAATTTTCAGCCTTTGAATATAGTAAAAAAAATAATTACCTACATTTTTATTTTAAGCCATAAGCTTATGTTCCATTTTGAAAACCATGGATTATCAATCTATATGATTATCTGTTTCATTGACCCTGTTAAATCGCTAGGCCTACAGGGTTGCCATAATGTTGCCATATCATAACCTGTCAAAACCCACTGGTAGTCTTTTTGTTTGGAATTAAGTCTTAAAATCTAAATCTTGAAGCTTATTTTTAATTATATTTAATATGAAACTTAATTTTTACTTTCATATTTGTATACAGGTAAGGAAAGTATAGGAATCATGATATTTTTCGACTTCCAGTTTCCGACGGATTTTTACGTTTTGGGGTCCCCTGAATCCGCTGAAATCGTCAGCGGCAACCATAACCATATTGTTTTTTGTTTACTTTTTGTTGACAGCGCGCGCGTCACCGTGGCAGCGGGCACACCGGGGAGCCAGCAGGCATGTAGCGGACATAAAGACAGGTTAACATTGTACAAAGTGAAGGCATGATTTTTTTAATTTGGTTTAATATATAAATTAAAATTGTTGAAATAATACTTTTTTGTGTTACTGTGCGAGATGTTAATAAATTATTCAGTTTGCTTTACATTTTAATACAATTTGGTTATTGTAAAACGGACTTCAGAGCACCCAAGCGCCGGGTGGTCTGCGCAGTAAACGGGTTGGCATATTTTGCATATTAAAGGTTTGTTCCGACATAAACCAAATCAGTTTGTGTACTGTCGGGATTCTGCGCAGTCTACAATTTGTGTTCCAACAAACCGTAGACTCGAAACTGTACAAAAACATAGTGTTCCAACACAACCAAAATTAATCACAAACCGATTTGTGTACTGTCAAATCAGTTCCTGGGTCTGAATAGGAACGAATTGTCAAGACATGCGCTAAGCCGCAATAAACTGAACATTTCGTGATTGTAATTATTTGTATCTATTGTCTCTGACAGTTCTGATTTGTATTTGTTAATCGAGCTTAGTCTTCATAGTTTTTGCACAGCTTATACAATACAGCTCCACAACTCCGTGTCGGCGTCTTTGATCTGGCGGTCGAGAACCAAGCAAGACGGAATGGTGCTATCTCTGTTAGATTAAAGGGAAAAGTCGGGCCCGGATTAAGCAATTTTTTTATTATTGAAAAAATTGAAAACCTTGACGTAATAAGGTTGGTTACATGCCATGTTAAGTAAGTTTTGGGAAATTAAATTTTTAATTTGTTTTAAATCTGTCAAATATAATTAAAAAAATTATTTAAATATAAATATTACGAAAAATAGCACATCTTTCGGATTAGAGGTAAAATAATTTGTATGTGGCTAGTAAAATCCTCGTTAACAAATGTTTTGAGCTAAAACAGTCACTTCACGACAAATTGTGACTTGGATCCTTTTTACACCAAGGGCTTCAATTGTTAAAGAAATGTGTCACGCTCGTGGATGCAAATCAAGTGGTACCCCGTGTCTCTGGCAAGTGTTACTCTTCGCGCAAAGGGTTTATACCTAGATAAACGAATGCTTCGACTGATGTCTGGGAACTCTATGGTATTTTGGAATTATAAAGAATTTGTGCTTTCATTTTAACAATATTGGTTATATTTAGATGTATTCTTATTAATTGAAATACAGATTTGTAGAAGTAATACTTTAACAGTTTTTATTAATATAATATATTCAATTTTTATCTGACCATACCGAAGTAGGGAATTTTGAAACTTTATAGTAATGTAAAATTTGAATTACAATATTACACGATATTACATAATTAGTACTTATTTTAGGTAGGTACTAAATTTGTACTTGGAGAAAGTAATATCGATTTTTACAAGAAAACTTGAAAAGTAAATTACAAAATCTTTAAAAAAAAAAAGTGTTGAGGTTTTAAGGATACTGTTTATCGGTACTCTGAAATCGTAACCATAATGATTGGTTAGTGGAATGGTAACTAACTATAAAATAAATGTATTTTATCTTTATC